GGGGGGCGAGGAGGGTGTAGGAAATGTGCTGCCTGCGACTTTGTCCTTGGTTGTTGCTGGTTAGCTGTTGAATGGGTTCTGCCATATCTGTCAATGGACAACCAAAGTGTCAGTTTAAACCATGGTCCAACAATAAAGGACTGGTGGCACAAGTAAAAACATTTTCCTATCAGTAAACAAAAAGCCGGAACCTTTTGTTCTGAACCAGATGCCTGCTTTGGCTGCATACTAGTCAATCGATGTAAGCAGATGTGTTCAGCAGTTCACAAAATGTAGTTATGCCTCTTTTCTTGATGCTGTGTGTTTTGGGTCTACATGCTAAGGTAATTAAAATATATTAAAGATAAAACTATGTGAGTTCTCCCTATGACTGTCACATAATTACAGCAGAAGAGGCTACCACACGGGCAGAGCACAGTGCCAGGATGTCGCAGAGAGTAAATTATGACACTGGCATCGTGTTCCATTGTTGAATGGTCAGCCTAGTTCAGTCACATTACTGGTAAAATTGCACGTCATGCACTGTAATGCACAACATTTAGGTGTGCAGAAATAAGAAATTATACATGGACTGACAATAATCACTTGTGTACCAACAGTATTATGTCAAAAGCTCCATACAGTAATGAAAATGTTTTGAATTTGGTAAGTTGTGCTTTATAAATTATATTTAAATGGATTTGACTCAAACATATAGAATTCAAAGCAGCTTTGCTTCAGGATTCACACTTGTTTTTGAACGAATCTCTTTCACTCTGACAAAATGGGAAAATGTCAGCATTGTTGCAAGAGACTGGTTGTGCGGTAGAAGGGTTTGGGTTATTTATCTTTAGAATGCTGCAGTTTAAATTGTAGATTCTTGGGTGTGCTGAAGTTTTTGTTGCTGATAGTATTTATGGAAAGAGAACGAACCCTTAGCATTTATTGTTCAGCGGTGTGAAACTAAAAACACACTATGCAATAGCCAAATCAGAGCATTCTTGGCATGAATCTATGGAGGAGTCTTGTTTACAAGCTACAATGCATCCACCACAGTTGATGATATCTGCCCCTCTGACCTCCTTTTTACTTTGCAGTGAGCTGTTGTGAGTGTCCACTGCAAATAATATCGTCTTTGTCTCCAGTAAAAAGGCATGGAAATCATACAGCATGTAGAGGGCTTTTAAAGTATTTTTAGCTATTTTACCTTGAGAAACATCCACTTCGTGTCCCCTCGCTACGTCCTGCCAGTATTGCAGCAGTCGCTCTGGGTCTTCGTCTTCCATGGTTTCCCCCTCTTCTTCCAGGCTCCCGTTACCGGAGTCTAACGGATGGTCTTCCGAGAAAGACTCCAGGTCCTCCACCGTGATCATCCCGTGTGTGCGTGGCCCGCTGCCCTCACCGCCGCTCATCTGGCAACCACCTCGGTCCATTTCTGTTTGCAAGACTTCAAATGGTTTGCAAAAAGATTACGTTTGAAAACGCTAAAGTTGCGTAAATTTGCGCGTAAAGTTGACGCTTCGTTTACGCGCCGGGACCTCGGTAGGACACCCGTTACTTTGTGGTCAACAAACCAGGCACCAAGAGCTTTTCCCGACGCGGTTAGACACACTCCGTCTGTGCTATACCTGACTTAAATGAGCCATATTCTTCTATTGAGTGCAAACAAGAAAGGAGTCAGAGCAGACTGACTCTTTGGTGAATGCGATATTTATGTAGTTTAAGACTGCGGGCTCCCACACCTTCCTCCTTCTCCCCCTCCTCCTCCTCCTCCTGCTCCTCCTACTGAGACGATAAAGGGCCGAGACCCCCACCGGCCTGGGTGCAGACCATGGGTGTATGAAGGGAGAAGGATACAGACAGTTTCATCCAAGAATCGGACAAGGCAACAGAGATGCTCTCTGACAGTCAGCATCATCTTATTATGTTCTGATTTATCTGTTATATGATAGAGTGCATCTGCTGTAGCCCATGAGCTACAAATAACCATTATTTTCCTTATAAGTGCATCTTTAGATTATTGTCATGATTAATTGACCAATTATTTAGAGTGTACAATGTCTGAAAATAGTGAAAGATGTACACTAGAAGTCCCCACACCTTTTAAAAATCATACTAATGGACATGTTCACCTTATGCGAGGCACTTTGAATTGAATGCCTTTTGAAAGTTGTTATACAATTACAAATACATAAAAGTGCCTGGTGTCGTGGTCTTATACTTGGATAGCGCTTTTCTATGCATTGTAGCGCACTCAAAGCACTTTCACACTATTTGGCCATTCACACATTCGCACTCGCACATTCATGCAATGATGTCATCACCGGGAGCAACTGGGAGTTCAGTGTCTTGCTCAAGGACACTTCAACATGTGGACTGGGCACACTGGGAATCGAACCACTAATCTTTCCAGTTAGGAGAGGACCCAGTTTACTTGCTGAGCCACAGCTCATGTTACACCTGACATCTGGCTGTACAGCATGTGACTATTTGCATCCCAGTGCTTTAAGAAAGTGTAGTGTGTGTGTGTGTGTGTGTGTGTGTGTGTGTGTGTGTGTGTGTGTGTATGTACACATCTGCACAACAGCCATGCCTGTGCATGTACAGTAGGTGTAGTAGGAGAGTAAATAGTGACCTGCTACAAAAGAGACTATATAATACAAAATAAGCATCAAGACCTAACAAAACAGGGATGGTGATGCATTTAAAATAAGTTTTTGTCTTTCATGCTTTGGTACATAAATTTTTGTTTCATTATTTTAATAAGTATTTTATTAATGTGAATGATGATTTAAAAGCAATCCCCAGTCTAAGAATTATAAACAGACTTGAACTTGTGCACTAGGGTAGAGACTAGGCAGGATTTCCCCTGATCTGAGTTGTTGCAGCAGTCAGCCACCTTATTGCACCCTTCAACATGCACGTAGAGAGGCAGAGGCCAGTATACAATCCTCTGCAGTCTGTGGGGGAGTCTCCATGTCAATACACACACATACTCTACAGGGAGGAAGGCCTAACGGGCCCCCCTGCATGGCTGTAGACCTCAGCATCCATCCAGCTACATCGTCACTGGGGTTGTCTTTGTCCTCATCTCTGTGGCTTATAAAGCACACAGTTTCCTTTCTTTTCACTCTGTTATATTGGTCCATGATCCAGATACACAAAACACCTGCCTCACTAATCTGGTTCTGTGTAATCTTATAATCTAGGCCTGACCGCTGCGTACACATTCACATATTGTGCTCCACTCGTCACTTAACTAGATAGTGAAGGTGGAGAGAGATTGTGCCCTTTCTTTTAATGCACTCTGTTATTCTCTGATCAGCACAACCACACAGACATGTATATGCAGTGTAGAATAAATATTATACTGTCATTTTGCAGAGGATGTAACTTATCACTCTGAATCAGAGATGAAGAACCTGTGAAATATGTTGGTTTTTAGCAACAGGAAATAGGTCAAAATGTTTTACTGTGAATTGATATCAGAACTCTGCTACCAGGGTTGTTCTCCTCACCTGGCACATCTCAAGGCTACATGTAAACCCCCACCAGCTAATTTGGGTTTCATTTATTATTCTTATTATTATTAAATTGTGTTTTAGCTGATGCAAAAATTAAAAAACAAACCAGCATGATATCTGCATTATATTAGCCTTCCCACTCTTCATTGGTCGACCACTAGTCTAGAGTATTATCTGGCCCATCTTTTTCTGCACCCTGTGTTACATATAATAAGACTGACACTGCTCCATTTAACCTCCATGCAACTTACCCCTGTCAGTGGTCCATCATTTCCTTTCCCTGACACTACTCTGACCGAATCATCTTGTAAAGAGGAAATTAAAAACCTTGCAACATTTTGAATATCGACACAGCATTGTTTTTTTTGTTTTTTTTTTAAAGAGGAGTTTATTAAGATTTGGCTGGTTCCTCTGTTTTTCAATAAATCTCCTTTGGCAAACACATGTTAAGTGATCTGTTTTCAAGTTTAAGCTGTATTGTGTGGTGAAGAACAATCCTAACCAGATCGGCTGGCCTCCTCACATTCTCATGAAAGAACATTTGGGGCTAGGTGATATAACTGCTAATCTTTTCTGGAAGGTCACTGGGATCAAATATTGCTATTTAACCCTTCACTTTTATCTTCGCAAGCCATAGGAAGCATACTCACATGTCACATCAGAGTGACACACTGAGATTTAGTAGATATTGGACAAGCGGTCATCTCAGTATCCACCAAGTGTTTCTGGCCAGTGTGCATCTCTTGTTTTGTTGATTTTGATACCCAACAAAACACTGAGCCATTTTGTTTTGTCATAAAGGGGGACAATCTGTAAACTATACAGTATGTGTCAAGGTGTTTTAGAATATATCTTATGTGCTTTAAAATATATTTTGCTCTTAATTTTAATCACTTGTTCCAGAGCTTTGTCCATCATACCATAATGAAGCACCATTATACTGTAACTCAAAATTGCCTGCCAGCTTTTAGAAAATCTTATTTTTTACACCAATTGAGTCCAAAGGACAGCTCACTTTTTTCAGAGTAGCCTTTTATTCTCCCATATAGTCCCATATAGCTGAAAATGAAATTGCAGTGACCCAGCCTCCCATTATCTGAGGTCATGAGGATGAATGGATCTTGTTAAAATTGTCTTTTTGACAAACTGCTTTCATTTCTTCCCCCCCATTAGTGGGAAATAAGGACAAGGTGAGGAACAAAGAATGCAACACATTTTAGTTATTTTGTGTCTCTTGTTGAAGTCAGACTTCTATTCAGTCTGTGCAAGTTTGTTCACCAATAAAGAAACATACGTGTGTGTGTGTGTGTGTGTGTGTGTGTGGATGCACTTTCTAGTTTTGTGCCGGCAAGGGTGCTAGCTACTCAGTCTGATGCATCACACCTAGACACAAGAAATGGCCTACTACCAGTGACCTATATATCCGTCTGTATCTTTTTCTGCCAGGTGTTGGAGAAGTTCATGTCTCGCCTGGTCCAGAACCGGGTGATGGGACACAAGGACCTGAGGACTCTCACCAAATACCAGCTCATCCTTGCCAGAGATCAATTCCGCAAGAACCCGCCAGCACACATCAAGGCATGGGCAATGTACTGGGAATCCCTGTGTATTAACTATATGATGTTCTGTGTCTTATAAAATACATGTTTAATGAGATGATTGTGTACCTAGCTTTTCAGAATGATGCTAGGTTTGCATGAGATGATGGTGTACCTAGCTTTTCAGAATGATGCTAGTGATGTTCCCATCAGTCACAGGGTGACTAAGCTGCTGTAAAGTATGGTATAGTAACTCAGAATGGTTATATTTCCTTTGGAAGCCTTTAAAGCATAATGCAGTGTGGTACAGTGTAACACCACTAAGTATGACCACAGTAATAAGCATATAGTTGAATTAACACCTCTCAGTAAGCTTTAACATAAGCTGGCCATAATAAGCTCTGGAAAGGCAGGATTATGTAGCAGAGCAGTTGTATTGGATTGCATTAGATTGCATAGGTGTTCCTAATAAAGTGAGAGTGCATGCTTAGTGGGAGTGCATTTGGTGACACAGTGGTTTAAATTTTAACATCAAGTTATACACATCTTATTTTCAAATCAACAAAACAATGTATTTTCCAATGCAGTAGTGCTTATTTAGAATGTTGCTGCAAAAGCTGCTATACATAAAGTTTAAAACGTATGTTATTTGCTTATTTTATGTTTTTTGCTTTTATTTGATTGAATTTAAATATGTTTGTGCAATTCTGCCTTCATTTGATGAATGGTGAGATACAGACATGAAATACAATAAAGATCCCAGACTGGAATCACTGCATTTAATATTACAGTAGTATATGTTTTACCACTTGGCCACTGGATGGTCCAGTATTAAACTTATTTATAGCAAGTACCTGCCTTTATGTGTATACATAATGACATTCTAACCAGGGTCTCATGGACTTATTTGCCCTCTTGCCTTTTACAGGGTCCACAGCAGGGAATGCTGGAGGGTGACTTTGCCCTTTGCATCAGCTTGTACCACGGCTATGAGCTGCTGATGCAGATGGGCCTCCGATCACTTTTCTTTTACATCCAGGGAATCATGGACGGGTCCAGAGGTCAGTCACCTTACATCCAGGCTTATTTCTTTCACTGTCCACACAAATAGTCTGGCTTAGTCATCCTTAAACACACATTGGCACTACAGCTGATTTCTACCAAATCTGGCTGTATGCATGCTCTGTAATATACAGTGTATGATTTTCAAATCAGGTCTCATGTGAGAGCTCTTCGTGCTTCGTTTCAGAAATGTCCAGGGCGAGGAATGAGCTGCAGAGGACTCCCACCTTCATGGACCTCTACCATGAGATGGAAGCAATGTTTGTGAAGCCATCTGCTGGTACCTGCCTCAGTTTACAAAGTGCTTTATAACATAGCCAGGAATACAATGCTCCCATATGACTAACATCCTCTATGATAAATACTTCTAGGTCTAGATGAGCCATTCATTTACAGTCACCCCAAACTGGAGAAGCTGGAGGAGGTGGTGCTGCAGCACTTCAGACTGTGGGCTGAAAGTTCAGCAGACAGTAATGGTGATTTACTTGTTATAGCAGTGCTATGCTAAAGCTCATATTTGGAATGATTGTTCTGTGTTAAAACAGAAATCTGTTACTCTCTTCATGCTCGAACTAACTAGAGAAAATATCTAGCATCATGTGAAGTTGTTTAACCTATGCTTACATTAAACACTGAAGTTTTATCTTCTCTAAAATTCCAACTAAATGGTGCCCCAGCATCCATTAAGTGTTTTAAACCCACAATTATGTGCACAATTTTGCAGGATAATTCAGCCTGTAAGAGCTAATAATTCTAAACAAAGAAGCAAAATAAAATTTTGATGAGGGTGCATTCAGAGTGAATCGGCTTATGGTCACTGAAGGAATTTGTAATCGGCGTGTTTTCCTTCTGTCTCATTTAGAATGTCCAGGTTCAGGCCCTCAGGATGTAAGTACGCGTGTCATGATCTTTTCATCGTTCCGTGAGAGCGTCCAGGAGATTGCAGTCATGTTGAACCGCCGTGCTCCGCTTATCAGGGTTATGACCTTTATGGGTCAAGCCTCAGCTGGGAAGGGGGTGAAAGGCTTCACGCAAAAGGAACAGCTGGAGGTAGAGGCTGTATGCCTATGCTTAATTAAAGCACAGATTTAAAGTAAAGTCTGGAATATGTAGTGACATATACAAGCCTAATATGGTGGTAAAATTTATCTCTTGGCATTTTGGAAAATGTACACTAAAGTTTAAAATGACAACACGTGTCTTAGGTGGTGCACAGGTTCCGACAGGGAGGCTTCAACACGCTGGTGTCAACCTGTGTGGGGGAGGAGGGCCTGGATATTGGAGAGGTGGACCTCATTGTTTGCTTCGATGCACAGAAGAACCCTATCCGTCTTGTACAACGAATGGGCCGTACTGGACGAAAGCGTCGGGGACGAATTGTCATCATTCTGGCTGAGGGACGTGAGGAGAGGGTGCGTGTGTTTTAGTGACTTGTATCTAGAAAAGCAAGACAACGTGACCATCACAGTACAAGTTTCATTCATTGTACTTTTTCCTGCTCGCAAACTACCTAGACCACAGTTTCAGCTTCTGTTTTCCTCAGACATACAACCAAAGCCAGAGCAACAAACGCAGTGTGTACAAGTCCATCACTGGCAACAGAAGTGGTTTCCACATGTACCCCAACAGTCCACGTATGCTGCCCAAGGGGGTAAACCCCACTCTGCATAAGATGCACATTACCTGTGGGCAGTTTGACCACTGCGGGAACAGCAGGCGGTCTGCCAGGGGTCGACGGTCCCACTCTACAGGACGGGCCTCACTCATCCACCCTGAAAACCTGAGTAAGGGGCTAGGAATGAGTACATTTTTTTAAAAATTCAAAATGGAAATGGAGGAAGGAAGTTCACTGGACTGGAAAAACTGGACATGGGTTTCTGAGTTTGTGTTTCTTTTGTGGTAGCTCGACAGGGCGGTGCAACATCGGACGGGTTTCTGAGTAGTACAGAATATTCCCTATGGGCTTCTGCCATGAGGCTGGAGGAAGATGAAGCTCATCCAGCCCTGAAGCAGTCGCGCTTCATGTCCCTACCTGGTGATCCACCACCTCAGGTTTCTTCTTTTCTTTCTTTTCGTCTCTGTTTTTTTTTGTGGTGGTCTGAAAATGTAAATGAAGATGCAGCCCATTTTAAAGCTGGAATGCTCACCCATACCATGGATAAATGGGTTTTAGAACCTGAAATACAAAAGTAAAAAGTTGCCATCAGCCTACAGTGGAACTATACAAAGACTTTAGAAAAACATACAAAACATGAGGGGACGTTTTGGCTGGATTTGAGTTTACAGCAAAATTACCAAATGACACCATAACATTTGAGGAAAACTTTGACTGAAAATGTATCTGACTGTGTGCCATTTTTATGATGTCATTGATGTCCCAAAGGAGGAAGCTTCAAAAAATGGACCACCGACAAGAGAGCTTTCTTTGTGGGAATGGAGACACTGGCAGCACAGAGCACTTCCAACCCATGTGGTTGATCATTCCCTTCGCTGCCACCACTTCATTAAAGTGATGGAACTCATAGACAGCATGAGGTTGGAAAGCGAGGTGAGAACAAGAATAGTTAATTAACATTTCCAGATAAAAGCCCTGCTTTTAGTCTTTTTATATTTTTGTTTTATTTTAGACAAAGCCACAATCCTCCAACAATTGTACTCATTTTTAAACATTGCTTGATGAAGATTAGGGCTGATGAAAGTCATATTTTCCAACCCATTTAACAAGCAGACATATTCCCATGAACACAAGCAGCCTCCCCACCAGCTATGTCCTGCACTCTTCTTTACTCCGAGAGGGATAATGTTAGCCACGGCTTACTTGGTCAGCCCTAATTTGCAGAGAGGTCCTCTGACCCTTTGTTCCAGAAGCATCAGAGGGGGAACAAAAAACCATAAATAAAGCACCTAAATGAAAGTCCAAACTTTATAATCTCTTATAAATCTCTCCTGCCATTTTCTTGTCATCTGAGGCCATTTCCTGCCTGGGTGAGTTCAAACCCATGTTGCGTTTTACTCTTACTCTTTTTGATGAGGAGACAGGGCAGAGAAGGCCTCCTCTGCTCTGATTATGTAAGGATTCCATGAACTGTTACATAAAGCCGGGAAGAGGCAAATAGGTCAGACCACGATGACCTAAATGTGTAGTGTACTGTGCTGAGGAGAGGCGAATGAACAGATAGAAAAAATATCAAGTAACACAAACAAGAAAAAAAATCAATTAAATGAGCACATTTCCATTTAAATGATTCAGTAGCAACAGTCAGCAGCAGTTGCAGCTTTTGACAGAGAGCTGATTAAATTGCAGCATAAACATGTACTCACAAGCTGTTTGGTGAATTGACTGCCCCGAATATCACCTGTTGTAAAATGGGTCATTCCGAGGCTGATTGCAGCTCCCTGACCTTGGTTCTCCTGCAGAGGCATAGTTCCTAATACAGCTCTTCTATGTGTGTGTGCGTTTCTGTTTAGGGGGAATGTCATTACGAACAGGAGCTACTTCCTTACCTCCAAAAAGCTGGTGATGTTGACCATGTGAAGAAGGAGCAGAAGAAAAAGAAGGGCACTAAAACTACCAACAACAAACCCAAAATGTCTCACTTGCCACTGACTCATCTGGAATGTATTGATAAGGAAATAGAAAGGGAAAAAACACAAAGAACAAGTTTAGTTTCTTCATTAGCTGTGACAAAAAGACTTCCAACTGAACATGATCATGAGGTACCTTATGATGACTTTACAGATCACCCGGGACCTGAGGGAATTTATGCTCCTGCTTCTAAAAATGAAGCAGACGTGGATGATGACTGTGCTATTATTAAGGTCACAGAAGCAGAGCATACAGTCAGCGATCCTGTAAATTCAGACAAAGTTTCGCAGTTAATTACAAACACTGATGAAGACATTGAACTTCAGGCCATGTTCTACCTTCCTAACTGGGATTCAGCACCTCCACCCCCCTTTGCTAAACTCTACCCAAGGAAACATGACAGTCTGAAGGTCATCCTGGCCAACGTGGCAGAGCTCCTGTCTCGATCTCCACCATCACTGAGTGAAGACATAGAGGCTGACGTGGCTGCCCCGTCGCTTACCCCCTGTCTTCAGCAGTTTCACCAGCCATTCCAGGTCAGCTTTACCCTGGATGTAGATGATGATGAAATGATGAGTGATCCTGGCAAAGCATCATACAAGCCTCCAGTGGTTGATCAGGACAGTAAAATCTATCATGATCGTCCTCATCCACAGCTGCAGCCTCACAGCACAGCAGCTGACAGTCCGACGCAGCTGACAGTCCGACCTGGGATGAGGTTTTTGAGGATGAGGAAGTGGCTGATAATCATAACATGATCATCAGGGGAGTCAGAAAGGACACAGATGATGAAATGTACCTCATGACAGAATGGGTTGATGAGCAAGCTGCAGAAAACAAGAACATAAAAAGTAACGATGCCAAAAAGAGCGAGGAAAAAGACACAGACATCACAGGTGGATGTGTAAAAGATGACGGGGCCTGTCAGAGCAGCTCTCAAATGGATGAGAGCATCAATCTGTTTGGGGATGATGAAGCCTTCCTACAGATGACCATCCCAGATGTGTCTACTCCTGACGTCACACCCAGGCCATCCGCTTGTGCAAGAGACATTTCTAATAACACAAAAAAGATGTGTAACACTTCACAAATGCACACCCCAGCAAACCTATGTAGCATTACACACTCACCGGACAGTGCACATAGATTAAACACAGTGCAAACAGATGATTTAGCACACACCGATCACGCAACTCCTACTTTGCACTGCAAACTAATAACTCAAGAAACAAACACCCATCACCCTCCAAAACATAGCAGACCCACCACAGCACAAGGTAAACCTGTAACAGACAGTTCAGTGACGGACACTGTAATGATAGGTTATTGTAAATCTGCTATGGTGCAGCAAAATATTGAGGCATTTGACAGCTCCCATGACCACTTCTCTGTCAACTTTGACCTCGGCTATTCACTGGAAGGCTCTGAGGATGAAGCAGAAGTAGAAGCTTCTCCCGGCCCATCCATGTTGACCTCTCCACAGACGAAACCGGCTGATTCCACATTATCCTTGCAGGCCGTCTCCAAGTCTTCCACTCCTAACACTGTGAATATACAGCGACTGCCTTTACACAAGTTATCTACACCACAAATGCTGTCAGAGCAAAGGAAGAGAGAAATGTCCTCTCTTCTGATTTCACCCTTGATGTCTGAAGGTGGGGCACTCCCATCTCCGATCACATCGCCTGCAGCCAGGCGGATGCTCGTGCCAGGTCCAGCCTCGCCTCACACATCGTCTTTGCTCTCCAGCTTAAAACGCAGATGTCCAGAAAATCACACTGCTGAGGCTGAGAGACGGTCAGGTGTGGGAAACAAGTCGCATCAAGAACCTGATTGTACTTGCAACTCCCCTCCCAAGTTTGTTTATCCTGTTTTGTTCTGAACCTACTGTCAAGATCCCTACATCTTTTTCTGTGTCTTGCTTTTCTTAGTTGAGTGCAGCAGTGACAGTGAAGATGAAGTTGTGGTTCTTAAAAGAAGATGTTGGAAAAAGGCCAACCCTTTGTCATCCCCAGAAGTGGTAAGCAAGGCCTAGTAATATTAGGACTGCAACTAATGATGAAACAAGCTCAACCTTGCCAGTTTTGCATAAAAGCTACTGCAAATTATTGTTTGTCAATTGACTTATCACACGATTATTCGTTGCAGCTCTAGTTGATACACATTAGGTTTTTTTTTACCTTAATTCATACATTTTGTTTACACATTACAAATAAACAGTTAATAATAATCTATAACTTATGGTACAAAACCAGAAGCCAAGATAGACGGCTCAGGCTGCCTCTGTCCACCATTTCAAGGTACAGTTGTCATGACAACCAGCTTGCACGCATCGAAGAAGCATTTCTAGCTCCAAACCATATCTGAATTTTAAAATAGATATTCATATATAGAAAAAGTAATGGCACTGTTTTCAGTTTCCTGGTTTTCTACATATTTTATTCATAAAATGTGATCTGATATTGACCAAAGTCACAAATATCTCTGAACAATAATTCTAAGCTGATAAAACACAGTCATGATCTTTCATATCTTTATTGAACATGCCCATTAAACATACAAATTGACACTTGCATTGTTCACAAATAATGTGTACAGATTGAAAATAAAAATCAATCAATATGTATATTGTCTCTGCCAGTCCAAGATCTTCAGTGATACGGGCTCCCCGGTGGTTGTGAAAAGGAAACGTGCAGCTGCACTTAACACTGTAAGACACTGCACTGAAATCAACCTGTTCAATTTTGCTTTCACTCCACGCACTACTTTTATAATAATGTACACCCTCATTATTTAATAATGTGCATCATCACAAATCATTAACAGTATTTGACTAATTTGCTCTCCTTTTTGTTGTCCAGTCTGATGAAACAGATGGAAAAGCTTTGTCTGATGATGATTTCCAGAATGATTCCGTATTTGCACGCAAAACCACGGCACAGGGAGCTGAGAGGCAACGTGTTCAGCGAAACAAGGTCTCTGTAGCAACAGTCCCTGCAAGATGCCCTGATCTGAATCTGAATTGTATTGTTAATTCCTGTTGTTGTTTTCATATCACCGCCTGCAATGATTGGCACATACGTAGGTACAACCACAGCTCTGGACGTTGGTCTGTTCCTGGTTCTTTTATAAAAAGACTACTAGGTTGTTAGCGCAATATCCTGAATATGTCCTCATCTCTTTCAACTGAAGTAGCTACTGCTGTTTGTCTCTTTCACAATACAGTTACAACAAATTTCAGACCAGTTTACCATAAAAATACCAAATCTATAATTATCCGTTGTCAGTTGCACGGGTGCCTTTAGCTTGATGTTTTTCAATTTCATTTCCTTTGTCAGCACACCGTATGTCAAAAAAGGCACCAGTTCCTGGATGAAGAAGCAGTGGTGTCAGAGGATGAGGAGGGGGCAGATGCATCCTCTGATGAGGAGGATGGAGAAGACCAAAATCAATCTCTTGAAGGATTTGTGGTCGACAACATGCACTTTTCCCAGGGACTGAATGGTACAGCATCTTTAGTAGATTATTCATAATCGGATTCACTGTGTTTCAGTGTTGGAGTTGTTGTTCTGCTGTGTGACATTTACACTTAGGTTTCTTATATGTTCTGCTTTCTGTCAGACTCAGAGATGCAAGGGATTTACCTGAAGTCAGTGAGGAGCCCTGCAGTCCATGGCAAGTTCAAAATGTCCTACAGAAGCCATAACAATGTAGACATATTCTCCCAGGTATACTGTCTATTTTATTCTGAGATTTTTTTTACTCAGTGCAAATAAAAAGGTCCCAGTCCTCAAACTCCAATGTCCTATCCCATGCTCCCAGGTGCCTGAGATGGATGAAACCTATGCAGAGGACAGCTTTGTGGTTGACAATGATGTGGAGGAGGTGGAGAGCAGCGAGGAAGAGGTTGAGCTCATGCCTGTGGATTCATTTGTGGATGGTAGGAGGCAGTATGCCACCAGACGGCGTGTTTTCCTGCACAAAGCCAGAGCAGGACCTGGTGCTGACACCAGGGCTGAAGCTCCACCAGAGCAGGGAACTAGTGTGAAAACCAAGCACAATCGAATCATACGTGTTAATGATTCGAGTGAGGAAGAGACAGAGGAGGCTGGCAAAGAGAAGCAACTCATAACAGGAGCAGACGATGCTGTCCCCTTGCAGCCAAAGGTGGTTTTGTTCAGCAGCAGCAGAAAGCCCCCTCCCCGTTGTCTTTGACCTTGGCATCCAAGGTCTCACAGCTGAGTAAAGCTGAAAGGAGCTCAGTCACCAAAGAACAACAAAGGGAGAGGTAAGAAAACCCTCACATACTGTAGTCACACACATGTACAAACACTTAACAACTCCTAGAACATTGTTTGCATTCTCCTGCAGGTTAGAAAACCAGCATTTCCTCTCTGATGAGCTAGACTTTGTGGAGCCACAATTGCTATTATCCTCCAAGAAGCAACCCCAGGTAAAAGCAGATGAGATGGGATGTACAGTGCCTTGCGAAAGTATTCGGCCCCCTTGAACTTTGCGACCTTTTGCCACATTTCAGGCTTCAAACATAAAGATATAAAACTGTAATTTTTTGTGAAGAATCAACAAGTGGGACACAATCATGAAGTGGAACGAAATTTATTGGATATGTCAAACTTTTTTAACAAATAAAAAACTGAAAAATTGGGCGTGCAAAATTATTCAGCCCCCTTAAGTTAATACTTTGTAGCGCCACCTTTTGCTGCGATTACAGCTGTAAGTCACTTGGGGTATGTCTCTATCAGTTTTGCACATCGAGAGACGGAAATTTTTGCCCATTCCTCCTTGCAAAACAGCTCGAGCTCAGTGAGGTTGGATAGAGAGCGTTTGTGAACAGCAGTTTTCAGTTCTTTCCACAGATTCTCAATTGGATTCAGGTCTGGACTTTGACTTGGCCATTCTAACACCTGGATATGTTTATTTGTGAACCATTCCATTGTAGATTTTGCTTTATGTTTTGGATCATTGTCTTGTTGGAAGACAAATCTCCGTCCCAGTCTCAGGTCTTTTGCAGACTCCATCAGGTTTCCTTCCAAAATGGTCCTGTATTTGGCTCCATCCATCTTCCCATCAATTTGAACCATCTTCCCTGTCCCTGCTGAAGAAAAGCAGGCCCAAACCATGATGCTACCACCACCATGTTTGACAGTGGGGATGGTGTGTTCAGGGTGATGAGCTGTGTTGCTTTTACGACAAACATAACGTTTTGCATTGTTGCCAAAAAGTTCAATTTTGGTTTCATCTGACCAGAGCACCTTCTTCCACATGTTTGGTGCGTCTCCCAGGTGGCTTGTGGCAAACTTTAAACGACACTTTTTATGGATATCTTTAAGAAATGGCTTTCTTCTTGCCACTCTTCCATAAAGGCCAGATTTGTGCAGTATACGACTGATTGTTGTCCTATGGACAGAGTCTCCCACCTCAGCTGTAGATCTCTGCAGTTCATCCAGAGTGATCATGGGCCTCTTGGCTGCATCTCTGATCAGTCTTCTCCTTGTATGAGCTGAAAGTTTAGAGGGACGGCCAGGTCTTGGTAGATTTGCAGTGGTCTGATACTCCTTCCATTTCAATATTATCACTTGCACAGTGCTCCTTGGGATGTTTAAAGCTTGGGAAATCTTTTTGTATCCAAATCCGGCTTTAAACTTCTCCACAACAGTATCTCGGACCTGCCTGGTGTGTTCCTTGTTCTTCATGATGCTCTCTGCGCTTTAAACGGACCTCTGAGACTATCACAGTGCAGGTGCATTTATACGGAGACTTGATTACACACAGGTGGATTCTATTTATCATCATTAGTCATTTAGGTCAACATTGGATCATTCAGAGATCCTCACTGAACTTCTGGAGAGAGTTTGCTGCACTGAAAGTAAAGGGGCTGAATAATTTTGCACGCCCAATTTTTCAGTTTTTTATTTGTTAAAAAAGTTTGAAATATCCAATAAATTTCGTTCCACTTCATGATTGTGTCCCACTTGTTGTTGATTCTTCACAAAAAATTACAGTTTTATATCTTTATGTTTGAAGCCTGAAATGTGGCAAAAGGTCCCAAAGTTCAAGGGGGCCGAATACTTTCGCAAGGCACTGTATTATAGACACACTTGTCCAAAGGGTTGTGTGAGAAGTAAAATGTATTACATAGGCACACGCTGATTTATTTAGCCAAAAACATGCCACCTATAACAAATTCATTAAAACTTCTATAGTTGAATTTTGTTTTCCTTTGTCCAGGCACACTCAGCCACGTCCTCAGTGCCTCAGCCCCAGTCAGTCAGTGAGTCTCCTGCTCCGTCCGGGCCTGTTTGCATTCTGGTGGACAGTCGCTGCATCAGTAGTGGAGTGGAGCTGATAACCAGTCTGCGTCAGCGCCACGCAGTCACCATACAGGTCTGCTCACGGGACGGCGGCTACTTCATCGTCAGCAACCGCATGGCAGTGGAGAGGCACAGCCAGTCAGATTTGGCTGCGACGCAGAACCGGAAGCGATTGGCTGAAAGAGTGAACAGCTTGCAGGGACTGTTTGAACGCGTTTGTCTGATTGTGGAGAAGGACCGAACCAAGCCAGGTCAGTCAGTGCACTG